TTTTTGTGCCGATTTCAATTGAGTAGTGTACCTTAGCTGTGCTGTCGCAGACACATCGAATTTTTCGTCGGACTATAGTAGTGTGTTATGTAGTACGATTCGGTAAGGTTTACGCGCCAAACTTATTTGAATTTGTAATTTCGTTGCAAACTAGAGTGAACTTCGTAGTGGTTAATGTGTATTTATTAAATCAGACGCAAAGCGGCGACGGTCACACGCGTTCAAGTGCAAGTTGTGAATTGTTAAAAGCGAAAGTTAAATAAATTACCGACGACAGTACTTTTGCAAATTCTACAATCAGTGGAAATTTTTTGTTGGATTAATGTAAGTAACTTTATAATTAGTTAATAGCGTATAAAACGTGTGGATAAATAAACCATTTATTTTTTATAAAAAAAAAAGAACGTTTACTTCTGAAGCGTTGAAATATGAATGCCTTAATTGCCAAAGCGATTAACTCCACTTTTTGGAAAATCTTAAATTTAAGTTTCGTACGTCATGGCTTAATAGCCGATGTATTTAAATAGGCTCCATTCTTTCCATCGTTTCTAGTACTCGCCGTCACAAATGTGTAAAGCTTCCGTATAATTTTTCCGTCGAACACTTCATACTCCGTCCGCAAAGCGTAAGTTTATTTATTGTGATGGAAATCACATGAAAGGGAACCTGGTTTGGCCAGGGTTATGGTGGAGCTGATGACGTTGCTCATAGGGACTCTACCGATTTATTTGAAACTTAAGAAACTTCTTTTCGTGTAGTTAAAATACCCTTTATAATCGACAAAGGCAGCGTGTGTGTCGATCTTTCTATTCCTCACTCTCTCCCCGGTCTGGACCTCTGTTAAAAGGTCACCGTTGTTATTTTTACAAGAGCTCGCTCTAACTAAGCTTAAAACCTTCTGCGATTCCTCCATCTTTCTGTATACATTTTCAAAACCAAACTAATTTAGGTTCAAAAACAATCTAAATGTTCATATTTGCGGAAAGCGCTGACTTCATCTACTGAAATAAATAGTAATCGGTCTGTTGAATACAATAGGTGTTTTAGGACTTCCCACGCGTAATTTTCTTCTTCTTTATTAACCACTTATCCCAGTTTATTTGTATGCCATACATTTATAATACTGAATAATTTGAATGTAACTTTTTAAACACGTGGCAACTCTCTTCAAACATTCGAAATGTCCCAACTAAATATTTATTACCATTTCTTCGTTTGACTAAAGTATTTTTATATTTCGCATACTTTTTGATTTGATTAATTGACTTTGAACTTTCAAACAGGTGGCAGCCCTCTTCAAAAGTGTTTTCAATCTTAATCATTGTTAACTCTCCTTCGCCGGACATTGCGATAACGATTTGTGTTAACTGATGAATTAAGTGGAATTTTAATTTTCAAACATGTGGCAACCCCGCTAAATACAGTTTGGAAATAAAAAAATTTCAAACCCCCTTCGATTGATACCCATATTTTAATAATTCCCTTCACTTATAAAATAATTTGAATTTATGTTTTTAAACAGGTGGCAACCCTCTTCGAATACCTCAAAAATATGTTTGGCGTTGAGACTAAGCTATCTGGATATTTCGTATAACTTTTGTATAAGAAAACTAAATTCGTCATTCCAAGCAGGTGGCAACACTCTTCAAAATACTTTCAAACTAATACTTTCTAAAAGCCCTTTCGTTTGGCACCCATATGGCAAATTTAAATAAGAAATACCGTTATGTTTCAGTTTATGTGCAATTTATACTGTTATAAATGTTATCGTAAGTACCAAACTTGGCGAGTACATTTATAAAACCTTCCGCCGAAAATCATTTATATTTCAAAAAAAAAAGAAGAATTTCGGCACAGTTTATCGTTTCATATCATTTATACATGATTTTAATTAATTTAAGATAGTCAGTAAAAAATTACTGATTGCTACGATTATTTCGTACGTGCTATTTGATTGATATAAATAATCATATTTATGTACCTAAGTACATACATATGTATGCATGTATGTACGTACGTATGTTTTACGTAGTAGTTAGTAAATCTACAATTAGGCAGGCGAACATGATAATAGAAAGTCGAATATAAAATTGTTGGCGCCAAACGATCTTTTGTTTACATTAAAAAGATTTTTTTTGAGCGGTTCGAACCACTAAGAAAAAACTTGTACCGGTACAGTAACCATTTCACGATTATCCCTAAATCGCGGTTCGGTTTGAATTTGGGATTACAAACCCCACTGGATTTACACATCAATGTGGTTAGGTTATATTGGTGGCGGAACAACTTTTTACGCCCAAGTAAGCAGCTGCAGTGCTATTCTGATACAACCCCGCAGTAAAATTTAGAGACAGTGTTGAGTGCCACTTAAAAATTAAAGAGAAAATTATCAAATTTAATATAAATAAAATAAAATAACAAAAATTAATTAAAATGCAATATGTAAAGGAACAAAAGAAATTAAAAGATATCAAAAAATAGAATAATCAAAATTTTTGCATAAAAAACTTATGGTCGCAGATCTGTTCAAATACTTAAGAAAAGAAAAAATATCCAATAATCTAGGTTTAAAATTGTTTTCTCATAAAAAACTTATTGTACCAGAACTTTCGAAAATGGAACCAGTTCAGAACTAGTTCGAAACTTCTGCAGAGGATACAGTTGGAAGCATTACGTTGGCTATCCCAGTACTCAGAACCAGTACCGCCGCTTAAAGAGCTAGTTCTGTGCTAGTTCTGAACTAGCGCGATTTACTGCAGGGATATACCTCGAATGCAATACGTTAGGATCATAGCCCGGAATTTCCTGCGTGAACGAATGGACTGCCGCAAAATGTGAAGAAATGTGGAGTCCACATATGGCCCAGCGCTTCTTATAAGCCGCTTCTAAATTCTATCCCAAGTATTTGAGCATAACTCACTATATTATTTTTTGCAGCGCTATTTTTCAATTTATTGGAAAATGCTGAACAACAAATGTGTATATTGGGAATAAAGGTAAGCAAAATCGTGGTCATTTTTGACAAATACTACTCTAAAGTTTTGCAGAAAAAAGTCAACTTCCATAAAATCCATTCCCTGGTTATCACACTTTCAAATTTATAAGGAACAAAAAAGGAGAATTCAGAGAACTTTGTACTCGCACAAGAATATACATATATATGCATACAAACATATGTACATTAGCCCGTACCGGTAAAAAAGTTCGCCATACACTAATGGTGATTTTGTTTCTACCAAAAAAATGGTGCGTTTTTATTGCGCCTTTCTCTTTTCGTGTTCCAATCTAAATTAAATGCAAAGGGTGAGCAACTTTTGTGTTCGTTCCTTAAAATGTCACCCTTTCGTAAGGAAAAAAAGGCACATTCTCTGCCCTGTGAAGTTTTGTCAGGGGTTGTCCTGAAAATCAAATGGTTACTTAAAACGACAATAGGCGCATTTTTTTACACGCATCCGTATCAGCGTTGAAATCTGTATGGAGCAGTAAGCGACAAACTTTGCCTGCGCTTATGAATAGTTTACTTGTTTTCAAATGGAAATTGTCGATGCTTGTTTTTTTTTTGTTTAAACGTTAAGCGTAGATGTGTATGCGTGTAAAACAAAAAACACGGCTAATATTATGAAATGCGTGGGCTAGACAAGAAAAAGAAGGCAAAAACGTGCCTTTTTACAGGGTAGAATGTAACATCAAATATATTTTTTGAAAGAAACGAAATCCCCATAAGGAAAATTCATATTAGGTGGTGGCGATTTTTGAACCAAAAAAAAAAATTACATGTATTTTTTTTTTGTGTTTTTATTGGGTTATTGTCTAATTTCAGCTATTCTTCCCTGAAGGAAAAATAGGGAAAGAAGATACAAACACTGTCACATTTGTACTTACTCACAAGTGAAATAAAAAATTTTTACAAACAGGCACCATTCAGGCATGTGGACTGATTCCTAAAAAAAACCTTCAATTCTGAAGTAGAGTTGCAAGGCAAATAAAAACATGTTTTTTTTAGCTAAAGTAAGTATTTCGCTTATTCAAAGACAACTTAGAATTTTTTGGCCGAAAGTAGGTTAATGTTTTGTAGATGTTCTTGTCTCGATAATACACTTTTTTTGTTCCAAAGTTCATTGACTCTAGTAGATACTTATGCGCAAAGTCTCAGTTCTTATTACCATAAAGTACCACCCTAACTAAATTAAAATTATAGCTCAACAAAAATCGGTGAATTGCCTGCCAAAAAAACTTTAAACTCAGAGTTGTTTGAAATTTTTATATTTTTTTTTTGCTTGTAAGGTAGGGCGGTCTAATGTGCATACATATGTATAATTAAATATATTAATAAGCACTAAAATCAGCAGCTGGATGCCCGTAGTAATCGTACATTTTCTCCTTATCACCCAAATTAATTGCCTCAAACCACATATATACCTATGCATGTATGTATGTCCATATATATATTAGGGTGCTAAAAAAAGCAGGATTGTTCTATACCGAAAAAATATCCCCATTTTTCTTTAAAATTGAAAAAAAATATTTAGAGTCGATCAAAGCGCCCAAAGTTTTCCATGTATTTGATATGGTAATAAACAATTCTCGAAAATCTATATTTTTTGATCGGAAACTCCGTTTCTCTTCTGGAAACGTGCGATAATAATATCTAGTTGTTTATTTAAAAAAAATAATAATAGTAAATTTATCTTGTAGGTCTCCTAGAAGCCCCAAAAAAATGCAAAGGTCGGGGAGAGCATAAAAAATCGTTAGTATACTAAATGGTTAAATAAACAATTGGGTATTACAATTGAAAGTTTCCTGAAGAGAAACAGAGTTTTCCAATAAAAAAATATGGATCTTCAAGACTTCTATATAATATCTACGAAAAATTGTTTTTCTCCCATATAAAATATGTATATGAAAAAATTTGAGCACTTTGAGCGACCTCTAAATAGTTTTTGATTTCAAAATACAAAAACACACGGGTAGATTTTTTCAGTATATAACCATCCAAGGGTTGAGAGCATTAAAATCTCGACTTCACTTTTTTTTCTTGACCACCCTAATATAAATGCGAGTACACAAACATTATACATTTGTCTACCATATGTTAATATGTATGTACCATATGTAAGCAACAGAAAGAACGCCTTGGGTCATTAGAGCCTACCACTTATTCTATATAGTAAGGTGACCAGAATTTTTAAACATTCCAGGAGGACAAATTCTCCGCATTGAAATCACAAAAATTTGTTTATATTTATTTTAACACATAAATAACGAATAAATTAACAATTCAAAGGTTCTCTAAACACAAGCCAAACAAGGTAATAGTACACTGC